GAGGGGGTAGCCAAGGAAATACCAGCTCCAGATCCGTACAGGTCGAGTGGAAGAGTGCGCTCCGTCCCACCTCGTTGTTACTGCCAGGCACTAATTAACCCGTGCTTCATTAAACATGATATTATTAGAGAGGTGCTTGGAGGAGAGCCCCTGGGACATGTCCCAGTTCAGCTGACAGCAGCCCCGAAGCATCAATGAAGTTGCCCTGGTGCTGGCATCTTCACTGCCTGTTGTCAGAGCAGCAGCACGTTGAGGAGACAAGTGTCCTACCTCGCTTTATGCTCCTAAATATGCCGGGAAAAGTGGCCCAGGAGCTAAAAGGGCTCAAAGCTTTGGCTCAGCAAACATGATTAAGGGCTACACAGGGGGGGAATTTGGCAGCGGTATTTTGTGAAGAACGGGATATTGCTTTCTAGTCATGTGTGGTTACCCAGGAGGTGTGAGGAAGGTGGCTTATTGCTCACTTACTGGGGGCACAAGGAACGAGCGCTGACTCTCTAGGCTGACGCCATTAAGAGCTAACGTACAAGCAGAGAGAAACAGCGGGTGAGGAGCAGCTAGAGTGGGACTAGACACAGGAAGGAAAACAAGTGGGAGATAAACCAGCCTCCGTGTAACCCAAAACACGACTGAGGTGACAGTTGGTGCAACAAGGAGAGGCTGTAAGAAGGGCTGGGCTCCCAGGTGCCGCAGAGGAGGGGAGGAGGTCATGCTTTAACACACACTTTTATCTCCCTCTTTCTAATCTGACAGCTTTATATGTTTATTTCCTATTTAACAAAAAGGGGCTTACACAGTTCTCGCAGAGCTGCCCTCCCTCAAAAGGGGGAGGCGATAGGGGGAGGAAATTATTTCAGATTTGCTGCAAGGGAGGAGGGAGAAAACTGTTTTACATTTGCTGCAAGAGCCACGGCAGGAAACAAAGGCAGAGATAGCCTGGCACGCTAGGGCTGTAAGGCTGGGCCTGAGAACTAGAGGACCCGAGTAAGCCCCGAGGTGCCCTCCCACGAGGACGTTGCAAGGGCTGCGTGCTCAGCACGCTCCCGGGAGCTGCGGCACGCCTGCATTTCCCTGCAGAAGCGGTCCCTCTGTCAGCAAGAGGAGGTGCGGAAGCTCTCAGCCGCGTACGGAATTTCTGGCAGCTTCCAGCTGCCGTTGCGCAGAGAGTTAATCGGGGCTGAAGCACTGGAGCAGAGCAAGCCCCACCGCTTTCCAGGAGGGCGGGTGGTTGTCACCCTGGTCACCTGTCCCCAGCTGACACAACACCCAAGCTGCGCGGGGGAGGCACGAAGAGTCTGCTCGCTGCTCTCTGCCGGGCTTTGCCGGAGAAGACAGGGCACAGCTTCATCGCTCTGACTCAGCCGAGCGGCCAGGGCAGGAGGGGAGCACAGCTCCTCTCTGGCAGGGGCTGTAGATCAGCAGCGATAGTTTGGCACAGAATGATTTTTCTTCTTGGCTGGGCTTACTCTAGTGACAATTGTCTCTTTCTCCCTTCCTTCCCCCCTGCCTGTGCTTGGAGAGTTTGCCCCAAGAGGAACAGGCTCATTCCAGGCTGCTAGGGCAAGCAGTGCGACTGAGAAACCAACCTCCCGTGGAGTTATAGAGAGCGAAATACCAGAGACAGCACTGCCAACTGACCCTTCCCTTCTGTAAAGTTTGAAAGCAATAGATTGTAGGACCTTAGAGTGGTTCGATTGGTCCAAAACCTGTGGAGACTGCTAGCCCAAATAATGAAGATGATCCCCCGAATAACTTGCTCCGAGTGGAGTTCTTCAGTGAAAACAAGATTCCCAAGGGGGGCAGAGGGGAGGAGAATGAGAGAAGATGTCTACTGGGTATGTGTTTGTTAGCAGACAAGCTTCTTGCTCTTGGAAAGGGAACTAGTTATGAACTCGGGAACAGGCAAACAGTGGAAAGCAGGACTGGAGCGTTTTCTGTCACAGACCTATCTGGTGACAGCTTTAACTGAAGCAGATGACCAGCCTGACGGCCGGCTGCCGCTGTCTTCCTCCCTTTCATTGCACCTTGGCTCTAGCCTGCCACTGCAGCTGCACCCTCTCCCACTAGCACAGGCAAGGGACCGAGGCGTGAAGTTCCAACGTGCTGCCTGCCTCGTGCACAGCGAACTTGTGGGTGCACCAAGAAAGGGAACCCTCTTGGGCTGTTTTCAGCCCGAAAGTAACGGTGAGCTTCTCCGAGGGGCGACTCCTCTCCCCCAATCATCCAGAGCTACAGGGAAAGAAGAGGTGAAGCCAGTCATCAGCCAACAGCTTTCCAGGCTTGGACCAGGGCAAGGGAAGGCTCCATCTGAACCACGCAGCTGGGAGTTCCTGCAGGGCAAGTAAGCCTCGGCTGGGCTGCTCTGCTTCCCCGTCCTTACTGGGGCTTTCCTGCATCAGTACGCTGGAGATGATACAACTCTACTACCACTGCCCGCTCCCTCTGTTTCTCCCTTTAATGGTGGAAACACTGGAGAAAAACTTGCCAGAGACTCTCCAGACTGCAGGAGTCCTTTCAGAAATAAGGCCTAGACGCCGCTGGAAAAGCCAGACGGTACACAGCAGGCTGGGGGTCTGTCTGGGGGAGCAGGATGCCGCTCCTGCTCAGAGCCCTGCGGTGAAAGTCCCACGGCTGGGAGGCGTGAGGGCACGCTGCACGGCGGGGGGGGGGCTGCACCGGCCCCTCCACAGAAACATCCACGCACAGCGATGCCGCCCCCGCAGCCAGCGCTGCCGTCCCACAGAGCAACACGGGCTGTGAAAGCGTGGGGACACACACATCTCTGACATGCACAGGAGGAGGGACAGTGAGGCGAGACAGCAGCTGGGACCAAGTCCAAAGAGAGGGATCGATCTGGAACGTGACAAGGAGGAGCATGTGGTTAAACTTCGTGCTGTTCCTGAAAAGCTCCAGCGGAACCAAAGTTCCCGTGCCCCTTGGGCTAGGGAAAGGTGCCCAAGACACGCCAAGTGTCACAGCACATTTGATGCAGGGCAGCAGAAAGCTGCTGCTTCGAGCCTGGGACAGGACAGGAAAAGGTGCCGAGGCCCAGCCCCGCTCTCCCGTTACACGAGTAGGCTCAAACAAGACATCACTCAGCACCAACATCAATTTAATTTTTCCCTCTTCAGGACAGGACCAGGGCAGGTACCCCCGGGGTTACATCAGCGAGTGGGCAGAGGGGTGAGGGACAAACTGCGCTGGGAAATGCGGGCGACAGAACCACTCTACTCGCGACAGCCCAGCCCTGGGCGGGGAGGAGCGTAGTTCTCCCGAGTCACCGAGGTGCAGTCCGCTCAGCTGCCCAAAACTGCAACCCAAAGGGCAGGTCCAGGAAAACAAACCCAAGCCGTCTTCTGTCTCGTTCTGTCCTGTTCCTACGAGGCAGCAGGTTACCGTGGCCCCGTGCAGCCCCAAAAGTAGTGCAGGAAGCAAGTCCAAGCCTGTGAAACTACAGGGTCAATGCAAGGGCTTTGGCTGTGGTGTTCAGGACAGCGCTGGAAACAACTGGAATGTCGCGGGCAACTCTCTGAAAGGGCGGCACGTTGGGGCCTTCCAACGTGTCCAGGATCCCTGCAGGGAACAGAGGAAAGGGGAGCGATGAGAGGGAGTTCAGATGCAGCTGGCACGTTTCTGACTGCTCTTCTCTCCGGCCAGGCAGTGGGCGGTGGTGGCAGGGCCCAGGTCACGCCAAGCACTTGCAGGCAACGGAGGGGGAAGACATCTAGCCCCAAAGACTGAACTGGAGCAAACACCTCCATCCAGAGGCCACAGGGTGTGTCAGAGCTTGTCCTTGGGGCAGGGGGACTGCGTGTTCCCAAGGGGAACATCGATCCTTTCACTCTGAGGGCGCCAGCCCCAGCCCCCTGCCACCTGACCCGAAGGCAGGCGCTGCCACGGACGCTGCTCGGCCGAAGCAGACTGATCAAATCCTCTCCCCACCCCATCCCAGGACAGATCCTGCTCTTAGACCAACTGTTTGCGTTTGTCCCGAGACAGACTCGCAGACTTGCATCAGGAGCTGCAGCTGGGGGCGCAATGTGGGATTTTTATCGCTGCAGTACAAACACAGACCACGCTTGGCAGGAAACACCGATGCAAGTGTCCTCCAGTCCTGTCAATTACCCTCTCAAGACTGATCATTAGTCAAGATTTTTGTCAAGGATAAAATATCCAAGCCAAGAAGATTGCTTGGATATTTTATCCTATTTCACCTGCTGAAAAGTTGCAGATCAGGGCTCAGAACCTTTGCCCTAAGAAGGGACCCAGGAAAGAACAGCATTTACATCTAAAAGGACTTGTAATGCTGTAACCCCAAACGATGCAGATTTGTCTGAAATCTCACGAATTGGTCTGGCTGCCTGAACTCACAAAGAGGCTTGCAGAATTGCCTATTTAGGGATCTGGAAACTTTGCAGCGATGGGGTGGGGGAAGACTTTTAAAAGTTTTTTTTTTTAAAAAGGAGATTTGAGACTTGGTCAGGAGAAAACTAAAGGAGACATAAAAAGGGGACCCGCACACGCACAGCACAGGCTGGTAAACAGCACCAGCCGGGGAAGACGCAGCTTCTGCTGTCGGTGGCGTCCCACACAAGATAAAACGGTGTTACACAAAGAAGGAAAAAGTCTTAATGACGCATTTCCTGATCAGAGAAAAGCAGCCTGCCTTCTGCAAGGTTCAGGAAAGGACTGGGCATCGGCATGCGAGAACAGTCAGCGCTGTTACGCTTCGCTTGTGGGGAAAGAATAAGCCTCCTGCCCCACAAAGTACTAGAGCTCGGCGCACAGAAACTGCCCCATGTGTGCTTGGTGCCCTGCTTCGACAGCTTCCTCCGATGAAGCTAGTGCTTGTCGTTCCTGGGTTGGAAACTGGCACAGAGGCCCTCGGGTCAGCTCCAAACTGTCCTTCCTTTCCCTCAGAGAGAGCAAAAAGCAGCGCCTCTTCCCCCAGGTCTAACGGGACACGTCTTCGCGTCTCCCTGGCTTACCTTCTACCACCTTGTGGTAAGCGAAGTGCAGGTAGAGGAGGAAAAGCATGTGCAGAGCAGCGAGGGTCCCACACAAGATGAGCCGCTGGGTGTGCCCCACGGTGCGCGACACCAGCACGGCCACCTAGGGGAGAGGTGGAGACAAGGGACGAGGGAGCTGCTACGTGAGCCGCCGGCAGCCAGCGGAAACACGGCTCAGAGCCTTGGTCTGCAGTTCGCACCAACAAATTCGGCGTAACCTGACTTTGTTTGACGCGGATGAACCTCGCCGAGAGCGCGGGATACTCGGGCACAGCGCTCCACGGCAGCAAGGGCTGTAGGGGATAAACCCCCTGCAGCCGTGGGAACGGTTGAGGGTATCAATCCGGGCGTCACCTCCCTACTCCAGTGGCCAAATGACCCGGGAGTGCCAGGCTGTCCTTCACAGGCCGTGAAATGGCCTGCCAGGCCCAAGGAGCAGAACGCAAACACCACCGCCCTCCCTTTCTTTGTCCCACGGGCTGCCCGTGCCTTACCATTCGTAGTGTAGAGAGTCCACCAACGCCCAACCAGAAGATATAGAAGAGGGAGTGGAAGTGGATGTTATAGGTAACAAGGAGAGTGATGCAGTGTCCAAACAGGCCGTAGCCCTGACAAAACAAAACCGCCCGTGTCACAAGCGCCAGCCCCGCACCAAGGGCCGCTGATCGGGAGCACGAGCAGCCCGTTCCTGCAAGGCTTCACCGAGGCAAAGCTGCACAAACCACCCGTTCCACCCCAAAGAGTCAACAGCACAACAGCTGTAGTGGCAGCTCACACCCAGATAGCAGTGTCCAAACAGGCCGTAGCCCTGACAAAACAAAACCGCCCGTGTCACAAGCGCCAGCCCCGCACCAAGGGCCGCTGATCGGGAGCACGAGCAGCCCGTTCCTGCAAGGCTTCACCGAGGCAAAGCTGCACAAACCACCCGTTCCACCCCAAAGAGTCAACAGCACAACAGCTGTAGTGGCAGCTCACACCCAGATACCCCGCCTCAAGTGCTCACAGGGACGTCAAAAGCGGCAGCATCTCGGGACACAGAGGAAAGAGCCTCTGATTCCAGAGAAACAGGGATCTCCTGGGCTTTTTTTACCACCAGGCTCTGAGATCAGGAAGCGCAAAGCAGGAGACGGGCACAAAGGAGCTGCCTCTCTGTGCTGCTGCTGCGCCTCAGGGGGGGCAGGTCAGAAGAGCACCCTGGGATGCCGGGCTGTCCCAGTGCAGTTAACTGGGACCACCAATTTACAGGGACTTTTCCCGTTCTCCATGAAAAGCTTGTGCTTGGACACCACGCAGCCCACCTGCCTCTCGGGGCAGCTCCACCTGTACATACCAACAGCGACAGCATCTGCACCATCGTGATCTGGGCGTTGCAGAGGTAGGCCAGGAAATAGATGAAAGAGGAGACACCCAGCCAGTAGCCGAAGCAGGTGCCGATGGCCGTGCCCATCAGCGTGCCTTCTCTCTGGGGAGACAGCGCCAGGGTGAGGAAGACTCAAGGAAGGGACCTGCCAGCACCCAAATTCCACCTCAGAGAGTCCTACAGCCCTTCTAGGCGTTATTAAATAGCTGGCCAGCAGCGTTCAGGGGGCCACATGACCTGCCCCCCACCTCTCCCAGCAGCAGAGCATCAAGACTTTCTGATGCATCCTTCCTCCCACCCCCGAACCAACAGGTTCTTCCTCAAATCGACCTGCTTTTCAGCCAAGCCGCTACTCAGCCATGGAAGAGGTTTCCTCTCTGTTTCAATCCAGAGCCCAGTCAAGCCACAACTTATCAGTGAGACTTGACATACAATGATGGTGTCCGAGGTCTTCATCCCATGCAAAAGGATGGCCACCAGCGTGAAAACCAGCATGAGGGGTCCATACAGCTCGCCTGCAATCTTCTGCAGGAGGAGACAGGTCAGGGAAGGTTTGGTTAGTGCTCCTGAATACAGGGCTCCCCACCCTAAGCAAAGCGAGAAGTGCCCTGGATGAAGTTTAGCCACCCGAGAAGGTAACAGCAAGGCCACTGCTGATGGGAGCCTGGCAGAATAGGCTGTGTGATGAGGAGCCTGGGATGTGTGAAGTCTAGAGGTCTTTAACTGTACCAGCACTGAGCCTTGGAGCAACCCCAGGAAAGGGTTCACCGACATTTTCAGGGAGATAAACACCTAACGAACTCCAGTCCTTAACAACGTGGAGTGCTTTAGGTTTACAAGGTGTCTGTAGGACATTCACTTGCCCATGGAGTCTGATTCAGGAAAAGGGAACTCACCTGTGGGAAATTAATCATCTTCACGGGAATCATGGACTCCATCAGTCTGCATCACCGCAGAGCGCGGAATGACATCAGGAGCAGGGAGGACAAAAGGGTAATTAACAAAATGATTCAAAAGTAAAAGATCCCAACATTCATCACCAGTGTTTTCTGCTGGGGTCACTGGCCTTGGGGGACAGAGATTCCTTCTAAAGGGTCACATAAGGCAACTAAAGAAAAAACAACTTACTGACAGTGGGTTAACTT